AGGATGATAAGCCGTACTAAAAGTCAATCTAGTGCCCAAGGCACTCTGCAAACTCTGCCATAACTGAGCAGTGAAACGCGGATCTCTGTCCGAAACAATTGTCATAGGGACCCTGTGCAACCTCACTATGTCCCTAATGTACAGGTCGGCAAGATAATCTACCGAGTCACTTACACGCATAGGAATAAAGTGTGCTGACTTAGTCAAATGGTCAACTACCACCCAAATGGCATCACTACCTCGTTGAGTCCTCGGCAGACCCACAATAAAATCCATCGTGATATGTTTCCACCTCCACTCAGCTATAGGCAAGGGTTGCAACAAACCCACTGGCCTTTGATGCTCGACCTTCACTTGTTGACAAGTAAGGCATTTCGATACAAGCACAGCCACATCCTTTTTCATACATCTCCACCAAAACTGGCGACTAAGGTCATGATACATCTTTGTGCCTCCCGGATGCACAGCAAGGCGCGAATAGTGAAACTCTCGGAGTACTTCCTCTCGGCAAGACTTCGGTAGAAACAAACGGTCACGGTATCTCACACTCAGGTCGGGATACATAGTCAAACCTCTTTCTACTTTCCTATTGGAAATCTTATCTCGGAACGATTCCACCTCAAGGTCACCCTTTTGTGCTTCCAACACTCGATTCACAAGTGTAGGTTGTGCAACTACTGAAAATAGAGCTACAGACTCAACAGACTCATTCAAATGTAAGTCAAACTCATTAAGAGTACCCAATATTTCCCATTCTCGGATGGCGATAGAAGCTACACTGCTAACTGGCTTTCTGCTCAAAGCATCGGCCACAACATTTGCCTTCTCGGGATGGTAATGTAACTCAAAATCATAATCCTTTATGAATTTCATCCATCTCCTCTGCCTCAAATTCAAGTCTTTCTATATAAACAGATACTTCGGACTCTTATGATAAGAGAACACATCAAATTTCTCACCATACAGATAGTGTCTCCCAATCTTCTAGGCAAATATCACTGCTGCTAACTCTAGGTCATGGGTAGGATAATTCCTCTCACGTGTTTTCAACTGCCGTGAGCCATAGGCTACTACCTTACTCTCTTGCATCAATACACCACCTAAACCTTCCCTTGAAGCATCACAATATACAGAATAACTCAAACCCCTCTCCGGAATAATCACTACTAGAGCAGTGGTGAGTCTAACCTTGAGCTCTTGGAATGACTTTTCATAAGTCTCACTCCACACAAACTTGACTTCTTTTCTCGTCAACTTAGTCAAAGGTGAAGCAAGTCTAGAGAAATCCTTTATAAATCGACGGTAATACCCGGCCAACCCCGAGAAACTACGAATCTCGAAAGCATTCTTAGGTTGTGCCCAATCTTGCACTGCCTCTATCTTGGATGAATCTATAGTCACCCCTTCCCTTGACACTACATGCCCTAGGAATTTAACCTCTTCCAGCCAAAAGTAACATTTCCCAAACTTAGCATACAGTTTATGGGCTCTAAGTAACTCAAGCACTACTCGTAAATGTTCCTCGTGTTCCTCCTCAGAAGGTGAATAAATCAAAATGTCGTCCACAAAGACAACC